ATTAATTTTTAAATAAAGTTAAATTTAATTGATATGTTATAACCCGTAAATAAACTGTTATAAGTAAGAATATTTTTAAAGTATGTTTAAAACCCGTAATATTATCTCTTAAATGTGTATATGGTGTGATTTTTCCTTGTTTCATGGGTTCTAAGCTTAGTAGTAAGATTTTTCCAATCTCTACTACCTTCATTAGCTAACTTATTATTCTTTGCATTAAAGGTCGTATTAAATAACTTACAACAAAAACAAAATACCTTATTCAAATCTTTGGAATAAACTAACCATCTTCTTTCATGTCTTTCTCCATTTGCCAACTTTTGAAAATAATATGTAGTAGAAAAGTGCCTTAAAAATTTATCCTTTGGAAAACATGTGTCGGTAATTCTAATTGGTCCCTTTTCTACTAATAAGTCTCTTAACTTTGTATCAACAATATTCCATTGACTAGGATCATAGATATTTTTAGGAGTATGATTATTTAATTCATTTATAAGTTCTTGATTTTCTTGGGAATCTACATCCGACTTTTCACTAATTTCCTCTCCTTCTTCTTATTTTTGGCTTACATCATTTTCTAACTTAACTTCGACTAAGTTAGTAACTTGTTCTTCTAAAGAACATTCCCCTACCTTTTTTGATTTAAATTTAACATTGTTTCCCAAAAAATTATCAAGAGCACCTTTTTGAGATTTTATCAAGTTATCGACTTTTGTTTTCCTTTTAAGTTTTGAATGACCGGATTCATATTTTCTAGTTGACATATTAAAATCTAACAAATATTTTAAACACTGTTTACAATATCAAATAAAAAATATAATAAACATAAGACACAAAACAAAAATAATATTAGAAATTAGAATGATATTACCGAATTCAAAAGCTATGAAGACTTTATTTCCGAAAATGAATCGGGCTGCTGCAATATAGTTTTCTCCAAATTTAAAATATAAACTATCAATAGAACAAGTAAATTTTTAAGCTTTGAATAAGACAGAGATGTAAGATTAGAAAAGAGAAAAGTGAGAAGAAATAGAAGGGAGGAGGATACAATATATAAAATAAAATTAGAAAAAAAAAGGTAAAAAAAAGAAGATAACTTGTACATTAAAAAAAAAGTACACAACTTTTTATTCGAAAGTTAAAAAGTCATAGTCATATCTATTAGACTATCACTTCATTAAGCCGTTTGCATTTATTTTCTTAGTTCGAATAAAAAAAATTTAATTTTTTTTTAATCATTCCTAATTAACTAAAAAATGAGGCATTTGCATTTATTGTCTTAGTTCTAATATTTTTTTAAAATTTAATCCTACCTAATTAACTAAAAAATGAGGGCCCCTAAAATTAGAGGCCTAAGGTGAAGGATATTTTTTTAAGCCTAACCAGCCGCCCATAAGTCTACATGACATGTTAATAATTAGTCATACACGTTAAGAAGGTATACAAATAAGAGCAACTTTCACATATAGCAAACACAAAATTCATAGTTGTATGCTATAGCAAAGTTTGCATAATTGCGCTCCATAGCAAACATATATATGTATAATTCGCTATACATATACAAAAAAAACAGTTGTATAATCTGCTTTGGTATACATATACAAAAAGATTAATTGTATAAAGTGAGAGAGGCGAGTGACAGAGCAAGAT